AACTGAGTTTTCTGAATGGAGGCTATGTCTGCACTATGTAACACATGGTTGGTGCCCCATGTCAAGCATGAGTAGTCCTCATTTACGTGGGTACATAGAAGTCCCACGACCAAGTGCAGCAAACCGCTAACTCAATTACTGTATTTTTTCTGAATATGAAAACTAAGAGAGATTAAGAAAAAATTTACTTTGACAAGATCTGTTTCTACTGTGACTTGGACAGTATGAGTTCCAACAATTGTCACACAGGAGTATTATTTGGAAAAATTTTAAATAAAATCTTTTTCTTTTAAACAGAAGAGTTAAAACTCTCTGACCCTGTACTTAGTTTGGTTTTTTGTGTTTTAGTTTGAGTTCACGTATCTTTTTTCCCTCTAATTCTGGGTCTTCATTAACAATCTGGTTTCTTTCTTCCTTCTCATTTGGATTTTGAAAGCCAATTTGTTCATTTAATTCATTCTCTTTCTACTCTTAAAATAAGTTTAGTTCTTTTAAGTTTGTGTTATTTTAAAGGAATTTGATGAGCGTGAATATAAAGTATTTAGTTTATAATTGATACAGGAATCTTATTGAATTCACTTATGCCAGGATGAGCCATACTTTAAAAATGTTTAGCTAACAGGTAACAATAAATTGATTTATATTAAGGTTAATGATTTTAAACAGCCAAAGATTCACCTTTGTACATTTGGAATCACTTAGTTGCACTTTTAACTGAGAAACCTAGATTGAGAAATAAATACAACTATTAAGAATAGAGGATAAGCGCTACTTTTGACAGGTAAATATCAAAACTTATAGAATTTTAGAGTTGGAGGGATATTGGTGATCATACATTCATACAGTGACCTTGTTTTATAGTGGAAAAATTCTGTGGCCTAGGGACTACTATTAGATTGTTAAATTTGGAGAATATTCAAATTTAGTGTCAGTATTTTTTAGGAGGTGGAATGGGAGATTATCCTAAGGAGTATCAGTAATCAGATGGGAAATAAAGTGGTTTGTGATTTTTTTTTTAATTCTCTGTCTCCTTTTGAATTATGAGAGCAAATTAGGATTTCTGTAAAATTCTAATTTGCTAATAATAAAGTGCAGAGAAAGAAGTTCAAGAACTTGGCCTGTTTCTTTGAAAGTTAGTATTGGAGCCAAGATTAAAAGCATACCCTTGACTATCAAGACAACTTTATTTATATAGTGTCAGTCAGCATAGCACCTGTTTAGCCTGCTGAGCCATGCTGCCCTTATAATGCCCCATGAGGCTGCCTGGAGCAGGGTCAACTAGCCAGCCTGTGAGGGTCAGCAAGTGAAATAACAAGAGGAAATGTCTGAGAGGGTCCCTGAGGGTAAAAGACAAATGTTAGTATCTAAATTCTTCCAAACCTATGTAGTTTGTCTTATGGTAACAGAGTTATTCTACTAATGGGAATACCAGAGTTTGTGAAAATTTCAGAAAGATAAAGCTCTCCTTTAGGATTCACTGACTTAAGGGCTTGCAGAGGAGCTAAAGCCTAGACATTTGAGGCAGTGCCGAGCTGGACTCTACAGCTTGCCTCAAGATAACAGAAACAGAAACGTTCAAACTACTTTTAGCCTCATAGAAGTAAATGTGATATAAAATAATGGTTTGAAGGTTATGCTGAAAGTTGTAAGGCTACATTTAAAATGCAAAATGCATAAAAAGGCAGATATGTGTTTCAGTGCTTATGTAATCAGTGCCCTTCTTTGTTACTAAAGAAGTTCAATGACTTTGTGCTGAACTAAAGTTTCCGTGAGGATGTGTTATTTTAGGTAAATGCAAATGTAAAACTCTGTCCATGGCTTAAGGAAATGAGCTAACAGTTTCTATGTTTTGTCATTTAGTCCTCACCATAACTCTCTGAAATGATACTGTCGTTATCTCCATTTAAGCCTGGAAACTAGGGATTAGAGACGTTGAGTAACTTGTCCAGAATCACAGATCCGTGAGTGATGGAGCTAGTACTTTTAACTCAGAGGGTTAGACTCCAAACCCAAGCAACCACTGAAAGTTACTGCTTCAATTAACTGAATGCCAAGTCCGCACAGTGTTACCCCGTGTGTGTTTGATAGCCTTTCTTTATAAACGGTTTACATAATTTACTTTCTAATCACTGACAGATATTAATGATAGACTAATAGTAACCATCAGTTAGAAAAATCAAAGAAATACAGAATTTCAGCTAAAAGATTATCTAGTGAAGTCCGACCTCTTAATTAACAGACTAGAAAGTTTAGGCCTAGAAGCTTACTGGCACTAATAGCAATAAGGCCATGATTAGAAGTTTGCAACATTTTAGAGTAAGCTCTCAATAAAATTCAGTGATTCTAATCAAAACTACATAACATACCAGATTTTCACTGCATTTGAATAAAGTATTTTTTAAATAATTCATTATAAATGCTTATAAATCTTTGCATCCTGAGTCCTTTGTGCAGTGCCTGCTTGGCACATAAAATAGGAACCAAAGTTTTTTTAATTAAACAAGTGTCATCATTATAGTTTTAAGATTGAAATAATGTATAACTTATTACATGATAATTTTTACATGTCTCTAAATATACATGCCTCTTCTAGGAACATATTTTGAAGTGTATCAGCAATAATATTAGGCTCTGGTTACCATATGGCTTTTGAAGAATTTTTTTTAATTGTTTCAGCTTTGGAAATCTAGAGAAGCCTGACGAAGATTTAATATTATAAAAAGAAATAAAATGCCTAAAACGTTAAGTATACACTGAAAATTATTTAACAAAAACTGAAATAAGTAGAAAACATTCCCTTATTTGGGAAATGGCTCCTAATAGAAGCCTATGATTCAATTAAAATGCACCAAAAATAAGTTACGGCAAATGTTTCTAGGATGCTACTTGAAAAGTTCCTATTTGAGAATTCATTTTGTTTTCTCCTAAGAAAAATTTAGTTAGATCCCATTTTATTTTATTTTATTTATTTTTATTTTATTTGTTTTATTTTATTTTATTATGCTTTTTGGTGAGGAAGATTGGCCCTGAGCTAACATCTGTTGCCAATCTTCCTCTTTTTTCCCCCTCCCCTAACCCCCAGTACATAGTTGTACATCCTAGTTGTAGGTCATTCTAGTTCTACGTTGGATGCCACCACAGCATGGCTTGATGAGCAGTATGTAGGTCTGCGCCCAGGATCTGAACCGGTGACTCCTGGGCCACAGAAACAGAGTGTGCAAACGTAACCACTTGGCCACAGAGCCGGCCCCATGTATCCCATTTTATATTTTACTTTATAAGTTATTCTTGTAGTTTAATATCTAATTCAATTTCATTTTTCTGTTTTATATAATTACTGCTAACTTTTTAAAAAATACTACTCATTTCAAAGGGAAATAATGTTTAAAAGATGTGACGCATTTAATCCTTGGATGCTGGAACCACTTTTAAAGTATTGTAAGCACATCTGTATTATATTACACAAGGAAAAGAATTATGCCTTCTATAGCCTCTGGGCACTAGCATGGCTGGTTTAGGAAAACTGAGTATTTTGCATTTCAAGTTTCTTTTCAACATAAAAATAGATTCTAAAGATGAAAAATTTAATTCTAGGGGTAGGACAAACATAAGTAAAGTTTTGGTTTTACATTTGTTCTCTCACTTGTCACCTACTTCTTAAAAATAAATCAGTTTTTATAGCAGGCTTGGCTTTGCATTTTGTTAAGCACTTCTGTTTTCCCTCATTTGAAAACTGTTGCACAGGACAAACTTAGAACATAGAGAAATCACTACACCAGGAGTTCTTAATAGGCGTACTACATGTCTCAGTCAGCTGCAAGTTATGGTGCAAATAATTTGTTAGTAACTAAGAAATACCAAGGGTTGTGAATGATTTACTCTCAAAACAAAATTACAGCAGATTCAAATGTATCACGATGATAACCTCAGTCTTGATCATTTATATTCCAGTGTGCTTTCTTGAGTGGGAAGGAAAAGGATGGAGTTACAGCTGTTAGGCTGGGAATCTCTTGGGATGTCTGTTTTGCATGTGAACATCATCTGTCATTGGTGGAGATGGAGAAAAAAAGTTGAACTTCTGCAGTACACTGGTGAACATGTTCTCGACTTTTTCCTCTTTGACATGATGTGATATTCACATGCCAACACATTCCCATATGCAACTCCTAGTGAGCTAGCTCAAATTCCACCTCTTTGTCTCCTACCCAAGAAAGCAAGCAAGGGAGAATGTTAGAGGAATGTATCTTTAGTCAACTCGAATTTTTTTTTTAGTAATGACTTGAGAATTTCATACCTTAAGGAATATTAAGCATCTAATTACCTGTGACACATTTGACAGCTATGTCCTGATACCATGACTGATAAACTCCATATTTCTTAAATTTTGTGCTTTTGCCTCATTCAGAAATCCAAACCTGGTTTTTTAAAATTTCAAAATAAAGGAAGGCCAAATTTAATTGTATGGCAATATACATTCTGGAAACTATTTATAATTAGAATTAACTTTTTATAAAAGTATTTTGTAGCCAATTATTTAACCACCATTTGTTACTAGAAATTATTTATCATGGAATGGTTGTTTGTTTTTCTTTTAAGGCTGAAACTAAATATATTTGAGGAATTTGAATTTTTAACTGGTCATTGTTTTATCCAAGAAAAATTCATGACACATTAAACATAGATATTATATAAAAGTTATTCTTTATTCTTCACTTGATGTGAAAACGAATGACTTGTTCTAGAACTTTCCTAATATCAAATTATTTGATATAATATTATTGATGATTGATCTGATACTAGCTTAGAACCTCTATAATAATAGCTCTTTTACCTGGTTTTCTTAGAGGTATTAAACTTAGTATATTATAGGGAAGTAACTACTGAATTAATGTCATCACCATTTAAAATTTTTTAATGCAAGGGACTCTGATACATTTTATTTATCACTAATTTTGAATATTAAGAGTGTTTTTATTTTTGTTTTACTTTTTTATTATAAGCTATTATGAACTGGATCCTTACAAAAGCCTCCTTGACAATTTGAGGAACAAAGTGATCATTGAGTACCCAACATTACATGTGGTATTAAAAGAATCCAGTAAAGACATGAAAATTCTTCACCAAGGTAAGTATATATTTGTTCCTGTAACACTTAGAATAACTGTAGTGAAACTGAAGCAATTACATGACTGTCTTTATTTCTTGATAGGTGTTTTCCCACTGTATTTGCACACTTAACTGAATTTACTCTATAGCTACACTTAATACTTATGAAGAACCAAATGAATTAGCTGCTGCTTCTGTCCTTTTTGAGAGCATGTAAGCTTATAATATCAATTTGAAATGAATGAATCAGTTTGAATGTCTGGCTATAAAAGGACATTCTTTGCCTTATTGGAGTTCTCTGTATTTTTGTCTTTTGTTAAGCTAATAGTCTTTAAGTAACAGTCTGTTCTTGATCAGATAAATTTACTCCCTTGTTAAAACTCTTTCTTTAAAGATTCCTAAAATGAGGGATTACAAAACATTTTTAGTATCCTACCTTATAGAAAAGGATAATGTTGCAAAGACCATTCTGTTTAAAATTTGAACTGCATTTAGAATAAGCTAGTGCCATTGCCGTGACCCTTTATCTCATTTTTTTTAAACCCACTGCTTTTATTTTCTTTAATTTTGTTTCCTTGGCTATATTGCTTGGCGCTTTTGTGATTCGTTAAAAGTGGATACTTTTCCCTCTTTGGTGAGTAATGGAATTTGGAAGGAAGTAATAGAACTGGAAATGGTATATGTAAAAGTTTAGTATATAAAATGACATTCATATTTGCAACTACTGATAAAAGTAAGCTAATTGTTTTTCTAAATGCAGATTCTAAAAGATGAATACAATTCAGAAATTACTTTTAAAAAAGGAGAGAGGTTACTCATCTGAACTCAAAACCATTAGATATCACTTTCAGCAAAGAATTACAGATACAGGCCAAGTTTCATTGGAACAAACTCCAGAGAACCGTAGAATCCGTGGATTGAATTGAACTCTTTTTTTTTTTTTTTTAACTAATATCATTTGAAATATGTGGTTTAGGTTTTATTACACCAGCATTATAGACTCTAACAGGCAGTAACTTTTCTTTCTCTGTACATGTGTATAATAGCTTTTTTTCTTGGCAAAAGTTAAAGGAGAAATGTTTTTTTCAAAGTGGCCAAAATTTTGTCAGTGCCACAATTTGAAACTAGATTTTTAATTAGCAAACAGGAAATTTCTAATAATCAATTATGGACCTCTAAATCTTTAATTCTTGACTTTATATTTTTCACAATTTGAGAATATCCGATTTTATTTTATCAAATTTAGTTAGAAATTTTGGTTTTAAATGAGCAGTTTCACTCTGTGTAAAGCCTTCCTTTTTCCTGAATATAGTTTGTATTGCTCTCTCTCTAAATGTTGGTTTCAGGGAAAGTTGTTTAGCAATGTGGGTTACTAGCCAGGGCAAACATCGTCTGTGTCAATAAACACAGCACACACAGCTCCTCTTTCACCTTGTTTAGGAATGCACATTGAAGTAAGCTTCCTGTACCTAAGCAAAAAGAAAAGGCCGCTTTTGTAGTGTAGTTGGAACCTTATTAAGTAAAGTTGGCTATTTTTTGGTGGTTATATGATGTTTGACTTATTTACAGGAGGCACAAGATACTAGTGCTTTCAGTGTAGAGGGTCATGGAGAGGTGCTGTAGCAAAGAACTGAGGAGCATCTGACAGGGTTTTAAGGACCATGCAGTGTTGTCACGTCATAGATACACACACTCTAAAAATAATGCCAGCTCTTTCTGTCCATGCATTTCTTTGTGTAAGCACTTCGAGGTGTCTGTTTCTTTGTACATTCTCATATTGGATTGAGAATTGGATGTTCTGCGGGGTGGTCCCTTACTGCGGGAGGAGGGTTATATAAGAACAGGGCATTTTCTTTGGAAAGCCTTGAAATTCTTTCCCTCTCCAGAGGCAAAAAAGTTGGATTTTCATCTTGAGTTCATAGCACAAGGTGTCTCTCTTCTCGTTTGGGGAAAATGTGTTTCTGGGCAGAGATTCAGTCATTTCCACACTTGATGGTTGTTACAATGTTTGTTATGATTGTAGATTGCCATAATTTATTTTTTCAAAAGTCTGCCTATATTGATGGGCAGTAGGTACGTTCTGTTTGCTTTTTGCTTTTTAAGGAATGAAAATGGTTGACTGTAAAAGGTTACGCAGTTAAGGTGGCCCACTAGATTGGAGATGTAGAGTGCAGATCACCCATCTTGTATAAGTCCAGTGAGAAGTGCTGAAAATGGTGTCAACTTGCTTCACAGGCCCTTGTTTGCCAAAGTTAGCTGGTAAATTTAAATACCTTGGTAAAAACACTCTGCATTTCAATCTAAGGAATAAAGAATGGAACTCTATGAAAAGAAGAAAACTGGGCAACTTCAGTAAGCAAAGAAAGGGAAAAGTTTTCCCCAAACCGCAATGCCAAATAGTACAAAGCCCTATTAATTTAAAAATATCAGCAAAACATATTTCTCTGTTGTTCTAAGATAACTCAAAATTAGAAAATGCCTCTGCCTTTTGAGAAGGAATCCAACTCAAAATTGATTACTTGAATTAGTGAAAATACCTGGCATAGCAGCTTCTCATACATCAGTCTCTTGTTGGGCCTCTTTCATCCATTCTCCCTCCCTCTCTACTCCCCTCATTCCTCCTCACCCCTCTTTTTCTTCCTTCCTCCTTCAGTGTGTGTGTGAAGTAGGAGGGTGAGGGATGGGGAGGATCTCAGACACAAGAACACACGTGTGAACTTTATAGTGCAATAGGTGCTGTCACAGATTTTGCATAAAGTACAGAGAAAGCCAGAGGAGAAGACAACTAATTTGTGATACCTTGGAGACACTTGAAGGACACTGCTAGAGTTTATAAAATTCCACAGAAATCTGGATGGAACCTCTGTCAATGCCTTACTCATAAAAAGGATTCAGTTTGATTGATGGTACAATCTTAAATCTAGGTACCATCAGCAAGATCCAAGTTTATGGTTCTAGCATCAGCTCTAATTAGCTGTGGGCCCTTGAGCATTCACTCTGCCTCTCTGAGTTTTATTTTCCTTATCTACACAATAGAGATAAATGGCTATAAGCCTCAAGCAATAATAATCTGTAAAACCTTAGTTTTCATGGTGTTTTTGTATATTATTACTTTTAGTGTCACTGTACAAGGAAGTAAATAGATTAGTTACTTTTTCTGTTTTAATGATTAAAAAAAAAAACTAAACGATAGAGTGACCTGCATTTATATTGATTCAGCAAACATACTACGCTGCGGGGGATAGACATAGAGAGGAAAGGTCTAGTCTCTATCCTCAAGTTTAGTGAGTGAATCATAGTCTTGCTTTAGTCAAGACAGCTCCTTTAAAGGAGCTCCATTTCTGCTCTGAGTCTTCTTTCCTCTGAAAGGAAGGAGATGGCGATTAGCTGGTCTTCTGTCAGCCCACATTCACTCAACATATACTGACCCTCAATTTTAAATTTAAAAAAAATCGTGGAAAAATTTATTCCAACCACACTTGGCCAGCCTATGTGATAATAGTGATCTATTCAATGGTATGAGAATGGGATCATAACCACACTGTGAAGTGACCATTCCCAAGTCTTCCACAGAGTCAGGAAGGATGTTACCTCACAAAATATAATTGCCACTTTCAGACATCATTTCTCTATTTATTGTGGCCAGAATTGTATATCCCAGCTGCCTGGGACATGACATGGTTTGTCTCTCCCCATGAGCAGTGCTGTTGGTATGCATCAGAAGGGAGGAGAGAGGAGGGAAAAACAGAACAGGCTAAACAGAAACAGTGTAAACACTTGACTGTATGTTTGCTTATGTTTTTCAGTGAAAAGTGAATCTACCAAGAACACTGGCAGTGAAAATTGAGCACTTCTGGAGGAAGAAGGTGAAAATTCGCAGACAAATGCTGAGAACTGTACATTGACTAGATGTTGGGTGATTGGGGTATTGTCAGTGGGTGGTTGGCATTTTTTGTTTCTCTGAAAAGTAATTAAACAATCTAAAATTTTTTTGAGAAAGGTGTTGAATTGACTTGTAAGGCCCTTATTCCTATTAACAGCCCCTTTTTTGCAGCTGATCGGCATAGTGCTTATTTTAATTAGGCCCTGGCTTTTAATGTGCTTTAATTCTATAGGCTGAAAACTTAGTTTGATGTAAGACCAAACCCAGGGATCACCTGTGTTAGCCACCAAGTTGGCATTCTCTTTAAACATAAAGGCCATGCGATACACCATCTAGCCACAGGAGAACTGATCCATCAGTTGCCCATTCTTGCCTTTGGGATTATATGTAACCTATCCTCTTGGGATGACTGAATGGGTCTTTTGTACTTGGGTAGCATCCAGTACGGTATCGTGTAAAGGCTGAATAAATACTGTTAACTATTATTTCTTATATTCAGTTCAGAAGATCAGCACCTCCACATTACTGTTTGAACCATCAGTGCTCATGAATTTGGCTCTACTTATTCACACAGTGAGCTGGGTCTTGTAATGAAGTCTGTGCCTTTCATCCCAGTCCCACTCCACTCTTGTCGTTACCACACAGGGATGTTGTGATGAGCAGTTTTATGCTGTGTTTTGAAACATCTAGCAGTAGCTTAAAAAAAAAACACTTGGAACTCTGCAAAGTGTTATTGGAATGTATATGTGTATTTATGTATTTACATGGCTTAATTTATACCTTATGGCAGCTCTGTATACATTATGATCTCACATATTGAAATTAAAAGTTTCCTAGCTTTAATGGAATTTATACAGTTGTGAAATTGCAATAACTATAAAAGAATAAAAGATTATTACATCTGTGTTGCATGTGTGTACTTAATGGTTAAGAAAACAATGATAAAATTAGACATTAGTGAAATTCATTTTTAGTTTACAAAATAAGTTTTAGACCAAAAGGAAACCAGAGGCATTAATTAAAGAGACTTGGAAAGATTAGAAATATGAAAGAATAATGAGAAGATGAGCATCGGAGAAACTTGTAGCAAACGAATATATATAACTTGGTATAGAAATTGGAGAAAAGAATCCAAAGACGATAATGCCGCAAAGACCCTTAGTGTAAAAGTAATAGTGGAAATATGACTCATAGAAAATAAGGCCCTGCAATTTGAGAAATACATATACTTCCTAAAGCAACTTCAGTAATCTCCCTCATACAGTAATAAATTTGTGTAGAATTATGTTGTTCGTGATATTACTGGAGAGACAACTAAATGGGATTTCAAGGGATTCATATTTAATCTAAAAGTAAAATTTGTCTTCTTGAAATAGGCAAGGAAAAGGATGAATTGAATCAAATGCGTCATAGAATTGTTATTGAGAAAAGTGGAGTTAAGTACACAAAAAGAGCATGTGATCTGAGTATCAGAGTGGAGAGGAATTTCCTGACAGTGAAATCTGTTATGACGTAGTCTCATTTCCAAGAAAAGTGGTGAGTTCCATCCCTTCTAAAATTTAAATTGAAAACTGGACAGAAACGAAAGGATTTATCCTGTACTTTCTGCCCAGGAGGGGAAAAAAAATATCTACATGATCTAATGCATCTTTCCCATCACTATTTTCTAGGATTCTATTAGACTTTTCAATTATAGACTATTCCTTAGGAAAGAATTTAACTAACAGAGTTCCCATAAATATAACTATCAGCTCATTTGATTAATATGTACATTTATTCCTACAGGATTTACAATAAACATATGTTTTAATGAATAGCCATGTCAACTGCTTAGAGGGGGTGAAATTGGAATAATGCATTGAGAGCCTTAGAAGTTTGTAGTATTAAGACCCAATTTCTTTTTTAGAAGCCCTTTCCATTTTGGATTCTTGACAAATTCTGATGAATAAGCACACTCCCTGCCCCATGTTAAATTCAACATCCTGCATTTTGTTCATGAATCACAATTTAAAAGGAGAAAAACTCCACCTGGCTTTCTTTGTTTTTTAAACAATGATTTCAAAGGGAAAGTAGGCCTTTCATAATTGCTAATTATTACATACAGCATTAATAGCCATAAATTACAGTAAACAAAGCTTGCACCTGTTCATATTATAAATATGAATTAAAGAGAGTTACTATAAAATAGATATTTAAGATTTCAAAGTATAGTTGAGCCAATTTGTTTCCCTGTAGCAAGTAGTGGGATTCAGGTTTTATGATGTGTAGTAAAATGTTACACACATAACTATAATGCCAGTGATTTCCTTTATACATTTTGTTTAATTTGGTTGACATATACAGTGTGTTGTACCTGATTTCATATTAGTCATTAAATTTTAAGGAAACATACTTACTCTGCTTTTATTTAATCACACGCTACTGCATTAAATGTGTTAAGTTTATTTTCAGGTAGCTATTGTACACTTTTGATTATTAACCAATCATCCTTCAGCTGCAAGTGCCAGAACCTCAACTCAAACTAGTGTCAGCATGAAGGGCAATTTACCGGCTTATATACAGGGAAGTCCAGCCATTGACTGGGTCCAAACACCCAAAGAAACCATCTTCCCATCTCCCATACTTGGCTCTTATGTTTTTTTCTTGCACTGTTTTTCTCTTCCTGACAGACATTCTCTTTGGGGAGACTCTTTGGGGTGGGAGGCAGTGAGGTGAGGATGGTGGATAACACCCGTTGACAGTTTCAGCTACATCATCGTGACCAAAGCATGGCAGCAAGTTATGTAAAATTGAGGGGAAAAGCTTTGATTTTGCCCAGATTGGGTCACATTCCATCCCTGAGCTGATCAAGAGAGGAGTTCCCCCAAAGAAAGGGGAAAGTATCAGAAAAAGGAAGGGTGTAGGGAACAGGAGAGAGAAGGTGGTTACTGAGAATACAAAGGTAACAGATGTCCACGGCACCCTATTTAAAATTGAGTAGCAAGAGGTTTCTGATTTGAAATAAAATAAGGAGTAAAATTCAAAATTAACCTGCAAACCCTCACTGGCTTTAACAAGAGATTTTAATTCCTACTTGATGCCGTTGCTGCTTTGAGTTGCCATTGTAGGCTTTTTGTAATGTTTGACATTATGTTGTTACTGGTTTGATTTGATGCAGATAGCAGCAGTCTGTTTCCATCAGGGATTTGGAAACTTCCAGTTTCATCAACAGTTGAGAAATATGATTTTGAAATGAGAGTCATAACTGGAGGGAAATGCTTCAAAAAATGAAGACCACTTAATAAAACTAAGCTCTTTAAACCTTGGGGATCTGTGCTTCACTGCAAAGCATGGTCATTCAACTTGGGTCAGTGAAAGCTATCCTAAAGTCTGTGTGCCTGTGTTCTTTAAAATGAACTGCAATGTAAACGTGTTCCATGTTGGAGTGTGGTGGACTGTACTCATTTTAAACTGCTTAAGCAGATGCATCCTTTGCCTGGGATGAGCTACTACCTAACTCTATTGTTGCCAGTTTTATTTTCTTGCTAAAGTACCAATACCCTCCATGACTTAGCCCCAGCCTAATTTTATAGGTTTCTTTCTTTCTCTCTTTTATTTTCACCTTTGGCTTCAGTCACATGAAACAACATAAAGATTACCATGTATACATCCTAGGCTTTTTCCCCCGCTTTCCTCGTTCATCATCTCCACATAAGTGTATTGTGCCTATCCTTGCAGAGCTGGCTTGAACAGTAATTACTGTGATCCTCCCATGTAGAGGTCACAGTTATGTTCACACTGTTTATGTGTCTCCTGATTGGCTGATACTAATGCCATACTGATTGTTAAATGTTTTTAATATCACACTGATAATAAAAGAACTGATGTGTGTTAATAGCTTACTAAATACCAAGTGCTATTCCAAGCAATTTAAGTACGTAACTCATTTAAGATTTCTCATAACCATCCAGTGAAATAGATGCAACAGTAAGGTCCTGCTGTAAGTGGGGTGCAAAAAAACTCAGTAACATGAAGTGAGTTGCGTTATTGCAGGCTGAAAGAATGACAGGGTGCCTGTACAACTAGCTGTCTAGGAGTTCCTAGTATCTAACTGTAGGGTCCCAAATCCATCCTATAGTTTGGCACCACATGGTGGCAGATGTACACTCAGGTTAAAATATCGATGGGGACAATTCTGAGTTAGTCCTATGTCTCACTTGTAATTCCAGGATAACAGAGTGACTCTAGTAATCTCCTGGGTAGTTGATGCCCATTTCATCCTTATCTGAGATTAATCTACCCTCTGCCTCCCCCGCCCCCACCCCAATTCCTGAAACAGCCTGCCATTTCCAAACCTGGCTTCACCCTCCCTTTCATATTCCTCATCCTCACCAGGAGTTAAGAATTTGAGTCCACATGCATTTACAAACAGGAGCTAGGTGGAGGGTGGAACTGATTCATGTTATTGTGGGCAGCATCATTGATGGGGTTTACTATAAACCCATTTTCCAGATAAGAAAACCAAGCCTCATAGAAGTTAAAGCTTATTCTTAGGTCAAACTGTTAAATAGTGGAGCTTGGATATTTTCCTTCTCTTAATTCCTCTCTGTACCTGGCATTATCTTCCTTCCTGTCCATATAATTATTGATAAAATTCTAATGTATTTAACTGGTCTTGAGGACCAAATCTGTGATAGATACTTGCATCACAGCATCATCACAGTTGCTGGCATAAAGCAAGCCCTCACTAAAGTGAGTATTGAGATGAGCTGGGAGGAGTAGGGAAACTCTCTTCTAGCTCTCTGGAAAAAAACACATTTTTTAAGGCTTTGTTATGGATTGATATCCCTCAATCCGTAGCAAAGCCCTCGACAAGACAATATTAATAGCTAAAACCTTAGAACTTAGCATAAGCTAGGCACCGTTCTAAGCACATTACAACTGTTAATCATTGAATCCTCGCAATCCTGTGAGGTAGGTACTGCTGTATTTCATTGAATCTAAAATGTCGTTAATTGTAGAATGTGCCATTTTATGTAACACTAAGAAAAAAAAATCCTGCCAATTAAATTATGACAGTGCTTTTTAAAAAGTCAATTTAGAATGTTTACACTTACGTAAAGAGCTATTTTAGGCATTTTATTTCAACAAATCTAAGATTGCATCAATTGTAAGGCACACCATTTTGTATACCACTAAGCATGAAAACGTAGCTTAATTGTATGACACATCCTGACTTGAGATGTTAAAGTGTGAAAAAATATCTTAGAATTGATGTAATATGGTATTGAGACAAATTTTTATATTGTTCTATTCTGATATAAAAAGAAAAATGAGTGAAATTAACTGGGTAAGCCATTTCTAAAACTTCGCGTTCAGTCTGACATTTGTGACTCAGACCTTGTGATGCCTCAGTTCTTTTTTTCTTTTTCTGAGGAAGATTAGCCCTGAGCTAACATCTGCTGCCAATCCTCCTCTTTTTGCTGAGGAAGACTGGCCCTGAGCTAACATCTGTGCCCATCTTCCTCTATTTTATATGGGACACCTACCACAGCATAGCCTGACAAGTGGTGTGTAGGTTCACACCCAGGATCCAAACCTGCAAACCCCGGGCTGCTGAAGCGGAACGTGCGAACTTAACTGCTGTGCCACCGGGCCAGCCCTGATGCCTCACTTCTTAATGAGGTGGTCTACCACTGTCTGTCATTTTCTTCAAAGTTACTGATACTCATTCTGCAAGTTCTGATGCTGACGTTTTTTTGATCACAAGGTGTTACTAGAAGGGTTTCTGTCAACAATCAGGACAATGGTTTATGGACTGAAATAACAAAGGGTTGCAGTTGTCCATTTATGCCACCGGAAACAACCACCAAGTCTACATATGCACAAGCAATGACAACTACATCATGAATGGCCTGGCCACCAA